ATATATATCTTCACTCGGTCCGTGCGTACGCAGTGTGTTTACTGATGCCTGTGCTGTCTGGACCCCACAGTTAATCTTTGCTGATGAATGCACCGAGGCAGAAGGAAGGCACTGGCACATGAAACACTTCTGCTGCTACGAATGTGAGACCACCCTCGGCGGCCAGCGCTACATCATGAAGGATGGACGGCCTCACTGCTGCAACTGCTTTGAATCTCTTTACGCAGAATACTGTGATGCATGCGGAGAGCACATAGGTACAGCACCTCCTTTTGGCTGCTTCTTCTTGCCGTTTACGGTGCTCTTTGACAAATAGGTGAACTGTTTCCAAAACACACAGCACATTTTTTTTCTTTCACTCTTATCGTATAAAACCTGAAACAGCTTTACGATCTACGTATGGCTGGTATCGGCTCTGAGTCTCGTGAGCCACAGCTGCAGAGAGGAGGATCCCAGTGCAGCGAGATGTGGATGATTATTATCATCCGGAGCTCCAGTAACAATGAAAGTGTTGGTTACAGAGGGTGCCTCCGAACTGTACCCAGATGGGAGCTGTGAAAGATGATTACTTCCTCAAGCTGGAGGGCAGGGCTTGTGAAATGTATTTGTGCTAACTTAAAAAAAAATACTGAGCATAGAATCATGAATGTTTTATTTAAGAACAAACTGTGATTGTGTTCATTAATTCACAGAAGAGTTTATTGAAATTTCTTTGTATGTAATTGTTTTCCCCCTTTCCTTAAAGGTATTGACCAAGGCCAGATGACGTATGATGGACAGCACTGGCACGCAACTGAGGAATGTTTTTGCTGTGCCCGTTGCAAAAGATCTCTGCTGGGACGCCCCTTCCTTCCAAAGCAAGGGCAGATCTTTTGTTCACGTTCCTGCAGTGCTGGACAGGTAAGGAAACAACAAAAACACTCTTGAGAATATATTTAAGTGTCTACTAGATTTTAAGATATTAATTTTTTTTAATTATTCAGGATCCAGAAGAGTCTGACTCATCGGACTCTGCTTTCCAAAGTGCTCGTTCTCGTGAATCCCGTCACAGCACCAAGATTGGAAAGAAAGAGCGCAAGAACGTCGAGCAAGATCGTCGGAGTGCTGAGCCCCGTCAATCGGCTCCTCCACCCATGCCTGACCGTCTCTCAGCTGAAATTGACCCCCTCTCTGTTCAGATGGACAGATTAAGCCTTTCATCAAGCCAGACTCCAAGCAGGACACCGAACCGCACACCCAGCCGCACTCCGAGTCGAGCCCCGAGCCTTAACCAAGTGTGGATGAGCAGGGACGACCCTTACATCTCTGCTTCCTATGAGGGCCCCCAGCGGGATCCCTCACCTTCCCCTGCCCCTATACATCTGATGGGTCAGTGCAATGCCAGGCAGGGGTACAACCCCAACACAAATGCTCATCCACCTGCCCAAAGTCCTGCTAACCCAGGAAAGAGGCCCGATTCCTGGGGGAAGGAGCAGGGCAATGCCAAGAGGACCCCTATGGCTGCCTTGAGGGGCCACTCCTTCAATGAAAACTGGATGCACCACAGCCAAGATGAGTTCAGACCTAACAAGCTCCGTACCCAGATGAGCTTCAATGAGATGTCCAGCCAAAACCAAGGCTTCTCTGACAAGAGGAGCATCAGTCTGCATGGATTCCAGAGAGATGGACGACCCCCACTGACGAGGAGGAACCACATCACTGCCATGAGCTTTAATGAGCCCCTCACTCCTCTAGAACAAACCCCTCGTGGATCCATGGACTCTCTCACCATGTCCAATGCTACAGGTATTAAACAATATTATGTGATATAATTTTATATGAAAAAAAGTTTATTAAAAATTAACATTTGATTTACTCATTTAACAGGTAACTCTTTGGATGGTGTCAGTAAGCGTCAGGAGCATCTGTCAAGGTTCTCCATGCCTGACCTGAGCAAGGACTCAGGGGTAATTGTGTCTGAAAAGAGCAACATGGGCACCCTCAGCTCTTCAGTTCAGTTCCACAGCACAGAGTCTCTATCCTCCTCTCGCCCTTACAACAACAACATGTATGCTCCACTGAGAGTCGGATACCCACTGCAGTACTGGGATGGCCCGCAGGATCTAGGTTTCGATGGCAAGGGTCGTGCTGGGGTGATGGGAAGCAGCGGAAACTTGCGGATGGCTCCCATGAGTGACCGAATGCCCCGTCGACGCATAAATGGTCAGGAATCAGTGTCCCAACAACAGCAGCCCCAACCAAGGCACCGCAAACACCACCGTGGAACCAATGGCAATGGTCATCGCAGCAGTCGCCACCACAAACGCTCTCGCCGTTCTCGCTCTGACAATGCCTTACATCTTGTGGCAGACCGTCCTACTCAAATGGTAGAGCTTCCATACCGCCGCGTTCAAGAGGATTATGATCGCTTCCCTTCTGGTCAAGCCGCTCGAGAGTTGTACGGCCTGGATCCAGGCGGGTACAGACAGCAGTCCCACCGGCCTTGCCCACGCACCACCTCTGATCTCACATTGCAGAATGCTGGCTGGCAACCTGTAGGACTGGGTGGGCCTTGCTGGGGTGATGGGTACATGGAAGGTCCTGACCCATGGTGTTCCAGCTGCTCCTCTTCCTCTGAGTCTGAGCAGGATGAGCAGTATTTCCTTAGTGACCCAATCCCTCGGCCCGTGCAGCTGTGCTACATCAACAATGACGATCTGCGCCATCGTTACAGCCCATCTGGGATGGGTGCCCATCATGGACCTCTGCATGGACCGATTCATGGCCAGCTGCACACCCGCCAGAGGAGGAAGAGCAAAAACTGTATAATTTCCTAGATTTAGAGCACGGAAATAAGGATGGATGATGAGGGTGAGAGAGAAAGGTAAGAAGACAGAAGAAAGTGTTAGGAGGAAGGAATAGGAGTGGGAAGGTGAGAGTGTGAGTGATTAGTGTGTGTGTGTGTGTGTGTGTGTGTGTGTGTGTGTGTGTGTGTGTGTGTGTGTGTGTGTGTGTGTGTGTGCGTGTGTGTCGGCGCGTGTGTGCGTGCGTGCGTGCGTGCGTGCGTGCGTGCGTGCGTGTGTGTGTGTGTGTGAGAACAGAAAGAAAATTGTCCCATTTTTTTTTATTTTTTGTGCTTGGGCACTTGCACAACTCCACACAGGGTTGTGTTTGTGTACACCTACACAGTATGATCTAATCATAAGAGGAAGCTAAGCTAGCTTACACAACAGGAATGTTTACAGTGATTGAGATCGACTCTTATGATTGTACCAAGTATTGACTGCTAATTTGACTGCTAAATAGAGTATACTGTGGTCAAGGTAAATAACACGATGTATGTGCGTGTCTGTCTGTGAGTGTATTCATGTTACAGAGAAACTGAACACTTTCTTCAGTCTGAAACAGGAAGTACAATAAATTAAAACTGCAGGCAATTCAGCTCAGAGAACCTGAGCAAACCAACTTATTCTACGTGGAAAAATGAGAAATTGTGCCAGGATAGTGACGGCTATGTTTAGATTCCAAGCTCTGTCATTGTTGACCTCTGTGGAATCCAAATGCTGCTGGAATATAGTGTTGGTTGGTTTGCTAGCCCTGTCATCAACTTGTACAAAAAAAAGTCTGTTGAACTTTGTGATCTACATAGCCAGCTCTCCATGCTTTATCAAGGACAGAGAGCCGGGCAGCCTCTGCTCCTTGCCCATTCAGGCACAGTAACGTCAGGTATGGTCCTATTATCTTTTCTGCAACATGCTGTTATTTTTTTATTTTTCTTTTCCTTTTTTTTTGAGAATCACCTATAGATTATTAATAATATTACAAATAATTATTATTCTAACAATAACAAAAATAAACAATAATAATGCAAACAATAACTATAATAATATTACAAAAAATACCTGTTAGATGTATATATAGAAATGAACTTTAATTATGGATGTAGTACTGTAAATGTCCTGTAAATATGGTCTTAAATATTTATATATTTTGTAACAAAAGATTCATTATTTGTATAACATTATAGAGATGAGGCTTGCATGTTAATTTGTTGTTGTTGTCTTATACTGAAAATAAAGTGTACTTCAATCAGGAAACGGCATCATTTAAGATTTCTTGAGCTCTGGTCAATGACTGAAGCCACATATATTTCATTAAAGAGGTTTTGAGTTGAAATCTAAAAGGAATGGTGAAGATCAGAAGAGAAATGAAAATGAACATTTTACCAAATGCATGTTTTTAGTATCTCCAAACTCGATTTTAAGAGCCTGAAAGACATCTGTAACAAGTTGGTTGTTTACAATTAATTACTAATAAAATTGAAAATTTATTTTAAGAGAGACAGAAAATTGATTAAAACACAAATGGTCAAGGCTTGGTTTCTAGAGATTTGTAACCAAACATTTCTTTAAAACAGGGGTATCAAACTCATTTTCACCAACATCACATTCCTCGTCTCATTGCTATGGCTGAGCACCGTGAACAGCTCTATGTGGTATTTTGTGCATAAGTGTTTTAACACGTCCTCTTATAAACACTGAAAAGTACTATGTGTACGACTGACTGTGCAAAATAATAAACAATAATAATAAATAATACAGAAATACTAATAAAAGTACAAGTAAGAGAGTTATACTCACTGTTGAGATCTTTTTTAAAGAAGAAAAAGTAAGAGAAGAAAAAAATAGTGAAATGTAATAGGAAAGAGAGATTAGAAGATATGTGAAATACTGTATATATAGAGATACAACAAGACAACACACCCGACATCCTGGCTGCACAGCTACAGAAACAGAGAAAACAAAAACGCATATCTATATAATTATAATGATTATAGCCTTGCTGACATACCCATACCTACATCCATACACATACACATATACACATACATATATCCATACATATGCACATACCATTCAATCAGAGTCCGACCAGAAAACCCAGGATGTAAACACATTTTTGTAAGCAGTAGTGAGCATGCATGTGTATTCAAGATCTCTCCAATGGAACTGTTAAGTTCTAACGAGTAGCTGCTATCTTGAATTCTGAACTCTGCCACTTTCCCACAGGGAACTCCCACTAGAATGGTGTTCCAGTTTAAAATTAGGACTTGTAAGTAGGAAATTCCCACTTCCCACTACAATTGGGCCACAGCAAAAGTAGCCGGCAAAAAGGCAGTGAAATGGAAATTCTATTTTCTTGCCAGCTGCCAGCTACTTTTGAAAACTGTGCACCTCCACCTAGTGCTGGGATGCTGTCATTTCATGGGTAAAATAATCGACATGCATTATGGGAGATGTCGTTTATGGTCAATGCTGCAAACACTTATTTTAAGACAGAAGTCTTCAACCTTGTTCCTAGCTGTGACCCACTGTGTTGCATTTTATAGTCGTTTCCCTTCTCCAACACACTCGATTCAAACAATCACCTGCTCAGAATGCCTTCAGGTTTGGCAAAGGCCTGTCGAGCACTCAATTTCAGTCAGGTGTGTTGAAGAAGGGAAACATTTAAAACTTGCAGGACAGTGGGTCATTCTATAACGTACTTCCAGTGCATGTGTTTTTAAAAGAATGACAATATCTTTAGCTATGGCCCTGCTAACGCTTCAGTAATGCTCAGACAAAAATTCAAACATTTCTGTGCTGCTATCTGACATTTAAACTAATGAATATTTAAGCAGTGTCTGATTCAAACGCTAGACTGAACAGGAAGAGAAATCAGCACTGTCATTTAAAGTGTTTTAGTTGTGATTTTAAAAAATGTACTCCACTCACCCACTGACCCATCAACCAATTTCTTGCCATTATAATGACCCCCGCACGCGAAGCGTAAGTCATGTTGTTTTCGTACTGTTTTTTTTTCCTCTGGAGATTTTTGGTCAACCGTAGAACAAAAACTGCTGCACAGGACTGTAGATGAGTCTGACCTACACTGCGCCAGCCAACGGTTTTACAATAGACCCCAAATTTGAGGAGGGGGCTCCTTTCAAAGTGGAGGTGTCAGGACATGCAAAATAGCTTATAACTCAGAAACCGTTCAACATAGAAGCTTCAGATTTCTTTTGTTGTTTAGCTCTGATGAAGCTCTACCCATCAGGCCCACCAATCAGTGTCCCCCCAGACCCCCAATTTATCTGAAAAAGGGGTATCTGGACACACAAAAAATGGTTATTGCTCAAAAACTATCAAACATAGGAGCTTCAGATTTCCTTTGGTTGTTTAGCTCTGATGAGGGTCTAAGACCCACCAATCAGTGCCCCCCACCCCCTGGACCCCCAATTTATCTGAAAAAGGGGTATCTGGACACACAAAAAATGGTTATTGCTCAAAAACTATCAAACATAGGAGCTTCAGATTTCCTTTGGTTGTTTAGCTCTGATGAGGGGCTATCCATCAGGTCAACCAACCCCCCCCCCCCCCCCCC